AAGGGGGGGGGGGGCTGGGGGGGGGGGCTAGGGGGGGGGGGGCTCAGGGCAGGGCTGAAAAGGGGAGGGGCTAAAGGGGCACAGCAAAGGTGGGGGCGGGGCCAATGAGGGTGGGGCTCAGGGTGGGGCTGAGGGGGTGTGGCCTTGCCATGAATGGCAGCAGGAACTTGGTGGGGCCAGGAAGGGGCGTGGCTTCATGCAGAACATTAATTGGGTGGGGCTAATTAGGGGTGGGGCTTGGGGTGGGCGTGGCCTCACCACAGTGCCTGGGCACTAATGAGGTGTGGTTAATTAGGGGGTGTGGCATCACAACCGAGTACTGCGCAAGAGTGGGCGGGGCTAGTGAAGGGGTGGGGCTAATTATGGGTGGGAATTAGAGGGGGCGTGGCCTCACCTCAAACAGCGCCAGGGGCCGCTCCCCCCCCACTCCGCCAGGGTTGGGAGGGGCGGGGCGAGCCCTGGCCCCGCCCCCTGGGCCCCGCCCCCGAGGGGTGGGCGTGGTCTCGGTGGGGGAGGGGCTGGAGTCGGACAGGGGGGGCCGGGAGCTGGAGGGGGAGGGGGGCTCGGGGCTGCTGTCCGAGGGCTCCGCCCCCCGCGCCGGCCACGCCCCCGGCACCGCCATGACGTCAGCAGGGAGACGGTGACGTCAGCGGGGCGGCGATGACGTCACCATCACGGCACCTGCGGGAGGAAATCCGTGGATTGAGAGGGAAAAGTGAAATTTTCCGGGGGAAATTCACATTTTTGAGGGGCTTTTTAGGGAAAAATAAGAAATTTTCGAGGAAAATTCACATTTTTAAAGAGAAAATTCACCGTATTGGAGGGGGAAATGCTGGATTGGGGGAAAATCCACGTTTTTGGAGGAAAAGACACATTTATAGAGGAAAATCCGCAATTTTGGAGGGAAAATTCACGTTTAGAGAGGAAAAATCCACAGTTTATAAAGAAAATTGTCCCTTTTGAAGAGGGGAAAAAACCGTTCTAGACACAAAAACCATAATTTAGAGGAAACTCCACCATTTTAGAGCAAAATGTACAAACTTTGAGGGAAAATCAAGATTTTTAGCAGAAAGATCCATTTTTTTGGAGGGGAAAATTGAAATTTTTAGAGGAAAAATCAGAACCATCAGAGGAAAAATCCCTGTTTTGGGGAAAATCAGTATTTTTGCAGGGAAAAATGGGAAATTTGGGGACAAAATAGAGATTTTTGGCCATGCCAAGAAGTGTTTGAGGAGGAAAGATGAATTTCAGAGAGAACCTGATTAATTTTATGGGAATAGAGAGAATTTCGGCAGGAAAAAGGGAGATGTGGGAATTTTGGGGGAAAATCACAGGTTTGGGGGGGGAAATGACATTTTTCTCTTGAAAAAGGTATTTTTTTGGGAAGAAAAATTAATTTTGGAGAAGAAAATATTCATTTTCTTGCAGGAATAAGATGAGGTTTGGGGTGGAATTGGGAATTTCCAGGAGGAAAGAGCCATTTGGGGGCAAAATGGGCATTTTTGGGAAACAATTTGGGGCAAAGTTGTGCTGTTTTGAGGGCAAATAAAAAAAATAAATCAAAATTTATAAAATATAAAACTGCATAAAGAAAGAAAAATTTAAAGAGCAGATCTTGGTGAGGATGGAGAAACTCAGAGAGGGAAAAATTCCAATTTATGGCAAAAATTGAGGGGACTCCGGGTGGAAAAAGACTCATTTGGGGGCAGAAATTTTTATTTTGGGACCAAATTCATCATTTTTGAGTTTTTTTGAGAGGGAAAAAAAGGCATTGGAGGAGCAAAAATTGAAAATTCTGGAAGGGGGCAATGAATGCTGGGGAAAAAACTCAGCTGGATGGGAAAAATGGGGAATTTTGGGGAAAATGGGGAATTTTGGGGAGAAAATGGGGAATTTTGAGAGGAAATGGGGAATTTTGAGGGAAAATGGGGAATTTTGAGGGAAAATGGGGAATTTTGAGTGAAAATGGGCAATTTTGAGGGGAAATGGGGAATTTTGAAGAGAAGTTGGAAACTGTGAGGGAAATGCCCCCACTAAAATCCCCATTTGGAGCCACCCCTCCTCTCTGAGGGCCAAATTCTCAATTTTTTGGGTCAAAATCCCTTTTTTTGAAACCAACCTCCTCATTTTGGAACCAACCCCCGACTTTTTGAGGCAAAACAGCCCCTCTTGAGGGCCAAATTCTCCCTTTTAGAGACCAAATCCCACCTTTTAAATCCAAATTCCCCCTTTTTGGTGTCAAACTCTCCTTTTTGGGTTAAACTCCCCCATTTTTGAGGCCACCCTTCCCTCATGGCCCAAATTCCCTTTTTTAGGAGTTAAATCTCCCTTTTTAGAGATAAAGTCCCTATTTTTGGGGCCAAATTCCCTATTTTTGAGGTAAAAATCCCTATTTTTGGGGTAACAATCCCTATTTTTGGAGCCCAAATCCCCATATTTAGTGCCGAACCCCACCTTTTTAGGGTGCAAACTCTTTTTTTTTAATTCAAATTTCCCCTTTTTGGGACCAAACTCCCTCTTTGGTCACAACCCTTCCACTTTCCGGGCGATTTTTCCCGGTTTTGGGTCAATTCCCCCCTTTTTTTAGACCCAACCCCCACTTTTTGGAGCGACCCCTCCCTTTTGGGGGGCCCAAATTCACTTTTCCAGGTGCCACCCCCACCCTTTTTGGGGCCAAACTCCCCATTTTTGGGGCCAAATCCTTCCCTTCTCTGGGTCCACCTCCCCTCCTCCCTCAGCCCCTCAATCCGGCCCCATTTTGGGGTAAAATTCCCCAATTTTGGGGCTCCCCCCCCCACTCCGATCCCGCCGGTACCTGAGGGGGGGCGCGGGGGTGGGGCCGGCGCGCGCTGCCCTGGCCACGCCCCCTCGCGCGCGCTGCCGCAGGGGGCGTGGCGACGCAGGGGCGCGGCCAATGAATGGGCGTGGTTATGTGAAATGGGCGTGGCCTTATTACAGCTTTGAGTGGTGGGGCGTGGTTCTGTCGGCAAAGAGGCGTGGCTTTGCGAAAGGGGCGTGGCTTTGTGACTCCTCCCCCCCCCCGGTGCCCCCAAACCCAAAGGTAAGACCACCCAGATCCCCCCGGATTTAAAGGAAAAATCAAAAAAAATCAGAGGGAAAAAATCCATCGTTTTAGTGGAAAACTGATATTTTTGCAGGGAAAATGGGAATTTTTGAGGTAAAATCCATACTTTCAGTGGAGAATCAGTATTTTTGCAGGGAAAATGGGAATTTTGAGGCTGAGATCCTCCAGATTCAGAGGAAAAATCAAAAATATTAGAGTGAAAAATCTATAGTTTTAGTGGAAAACCAGTATTTTTGCAGGGAAAATGGGAATTTTGAGGCTGAGATCCTCCAGATTCAGAGGAAAAATCAAAAATATTAGAGTGAAAAATCTATAGTTTTAGTGGAAAACCAGTATTTTTGCAGGGAAAATGGGAATTTTGGGGCTGAGTCCCTCTGGATTAGGAGGACAAATCAAATATTCGAAAGTGAAAATCCATATTTTTAATGGGAAAAATGGTATTTTTCGGGGCAAAATAGAGGGTTTTGGCCAAGCTGGAAAGTGTTTGGGGAGGAAGGAGTCATTTCAGGGAGAATCTGATAATTGTAGGGGATATAACAATTTTGCCGGGAAAAAGGGATATTTTAGGGGAAACGTGTGAATTTTGGGAGCTCATTAAGGGTGGAAATGGCGCCCCTGAGGGCAAAATGGGGGGAAAATGGAGCCTTTGAGGGGAAAATGTGGGGAAATGGAGCCCGTGAGGGAAAAATGGAGGGAAATTGAGCCCTTGAGGGGAAAATGGGGGAAATGGAGCCTTTGAAGGGAAAATAGAGGCCCTGAAGGGAAAATGGAGCCCGTGAGGAGAAAATGGGGGGAAATGGGGCCTTTGAGGGAAAAATAGAGGCCCTGAGGGGAAAATGGGGGGAAATTGAGCCCATGAGAGGAAATGGAGTCTGTGAGGAGAAATTGTGGGAAAATTGAGCCTTTGAGGGGAAAATGGAGCCCATGAGGAGGAAATGGGGGAAATGGAGCCTTTGAGGGGAAAATGGCAGAAAAGAGGGGAAAAGGGGGAAAATGAAGCCTTTGAGGGGAAAATGGGGAGGAATGGCGACCGTGAGGGGAAAATGCAATCCATGAGGGGAAAATGGGGGAAAATGAAGCCTTTGATGGGAAAATGGGGGAAAATGAAGCCTTTGATGGGAAAATGGGGGAAAATTAAGCCTTTGAGGGGAAAATGGGGAGGAATGGAGCCTTTGAGGGGAAAATGGGGAGGAATGGCGACCGTGAGGGGAAAATGGGGGGAAATTAAGGCCCTGAGAGGAAAATGGGGAGAAATGGAGCCTTTGAGGGGAAATTGTGGGCAAATTGAGCCTTTGAGGGGAAAATGGAGCCCATGAGGGGAAAAAGGGTGGAAATGGAGCCTTTGAGGGGAAAATGGGGGAAAATTGAGCCTTTGAGGGGAAAATGGGGGGAAATGGAGCCTGTGAGGGGAAACTGGAGACTGTGAGGGGAAAATGGGGCGAAATTGAGGCCCTGAGGGGGAAATGGGGGGAAAATGAAGCCTTTGAGGGGAAAATGGGGGAAATGGAGCTTTTAAGGGGAAAATGGGGAGGAATGGCGACCGTGAGGGGAAAAATGGGGGGAAATTAAGGCCCTGAGAGGAAAATGGGGAGAAATGGAGCCTTTGAGGGGAAATTGTGGGAAAATTGAGCCTTTGAGGGGAAAATGGAGCCCATGAGGAGGAAATGGGGGAAATGGAGCCTGTGAGGGGAAAATGGCAGAAAAAGGAGCCTTTGAGGGGAAAATGGGAAGGAATGGCGACCGTGAGGGGAAAATGCAATCCATGAGGGGAAAATGGGGGAAAATGAAGCCTTTGAGGGGAAAAATGGGGGAAAATTGAACATTTGAGGGGAAAATGGAGGGAAATTTGAGCCTTTGAGGGAAAAACGGGGAGAAATTGAGAGCATGAGGGGAAAATGGGGGGAAAATTGAACCTTTGAGGGGAAAATGGAGGGAAATTGAGCCTTTGAGGGAAAAACGGGGGGAAATGGAGAGCATGAGGGGAAAATGGGGATAAATGGAGCCCATGAGGGGAAAATGGGGGGAAAATTGAACCTTTGAGGGGAAAACGGGTAGAAATGGAACCTTGTGAGGGCGATGGTGGCAAATGGTGGCCATGAGGGGCAGCTGAGGGGGAAAGGAGGTGAAAATTCACCCAGTGAGGTGTGCACATGGCGCCTGGGAGATCGAGGTGACACCTCTGAGTGGCGTCCCCAGCTGAGGGCACACCTGGGGTGATGGATCAGCTGTGCAGGTGAGGATACAACCGGAATATTTGGATAAAAATGAGCTGTTATCCAAACACCATATTTTTTTAAATCCAGGATTGATAACCTGTTGCTAACAGTATTTATATTTTGTTTGATCTCACAGTTATCAGTTGTTTTGCACAGTGCTTGTGTCTCCCCAGTTCAGGGTTTCTGATGAAGGCTTCCAAGGTCTTCCTCACATCTGACCTTTTCATCTTTGTCTTCGGAGCACGGGCAGTTACGGTGATCCTTGTTCTGTCTGGTCTTAACCAGCCTAAATTCTCCATCTCGTGGCTAATTGGCTTTGCACTTGCCAATTTCTCATTAGTGATATACTTATCTATCCCTAAAGCTCTCCGCCAGGTGAGATTTTTCTTAGTTTTTTGTCAATTCAGCATTAAGCAACCAGTTAACCATATAGTAGCCATTACTTCATTAAAAAAGTTATTTATATCTGGTTATATAGGTGTGAAAGCCGTGTTAGAGGTTACATAGGTATAAAGAGCTGTGATTTGGATTGTATAGCAGTCAGGTTGCACAAATGAATAAGAAATTCTAATTTAAATTGTATTGTTATTAGCTTATTCAAATAAGCCAAGCTATACTAATGCCTTATAATGTAGAGCCTATAAACACCTTGTAACTTCGGTGCAAGTGATATAGGCATTAATGGAAAAAATATTGCAAAAGTAGATATATTTAAGCAATACGTGATAGTCTTTAAATTGTTGTTTATTATTCCAAATTAGTTCATGCTCTTGGCACCACAGAATCATTCTGACTGGAAAATGACCCCGAGTAATAAATCTTGTCCCAAGGTTTTTTGTCCCGATCACCGACAAACGCGATTTTTACCGAAAATCCCCCAATTCGCGGCGCCCTTTGCCCCCATGGCGTCCCCCGTTCCCATGGCGACGGGGCGGCCCATTCCACTCCTCCCCTGCCTCCCTCCACACTTGGTACGTTCCATGCAAATGACCCCACTGGCGCCACCAACACAGCGTTCAAACCGGCGGCCAATAGGAAGCGAGAAGGCGGGGTTACAGTGAAGATTGACAGCAATCCGAGCCTATCGCGAGGCGTGGCGCCATAGAACGGCCGCTAGAAACCGCCGACCTATCAGAGGCGGGGAGGCGGGGTTAAGGCGAAGATTGACAGCGCCCTGAGCCAATCGCGAGGCGCAGCGCTCCGTCCCTCAGCGGCCGCCTCAGCCGCCGCTTTCCCGCCCTCCGGCCGCGGCCCCGGCCCGAGACCCCCGGGACCCCCTCAGCCCCCGGGACCCTCCCGGGACCCCCCGGCCCCACCATGGGCTTCCTGAAGCTCATCGAGATCGAGAACTTCAAGTCGTACAAGGGCCGCCAGATCATCGGGCCCTTCCGCCGCTTCACCGCCATCATCGGCCCCAATGGCTCCGGTGAGTCCCGGGGGGGCTCTCGGGGGTGAGGGGGGGTCAGGGCCGCTCCCGTGGTGGTCGGAGGGGTGACCCCGAATTCTTTACACCGCTCCGCTCCCGCTCCCTCCTCCCGCCGTGCCCGGGGGCTTCCCCGTTCCCTGGGGTCCCTCCTAAGCCTTGAAGTCCCCAGTAATTCTCCGCAGCTCTTCCTCGCCCCCACCCCGTCACTCTCTGGGGTTCCCCCTCACGTCCCTCCACTCCCATGGAGTCCCCCCTATTCCATGGGGTCCCTCCTAAGTCTTGAAGTAATTTTCTACATCCCTTGCTCGCCCCTCGCCTCGCTCTCTGGGGTCCCCGCTCGCCTTCCTCCTTTTCCCATGGGGTTCCCCCCCCATTCCCTGGGGTCCCCCCTCAATTCCTTCAGTTCCCCTCATTCCATGGGGTCACCCCTTAATTTTCTGGGTTCCCTGCATTCTCTGGGGTCCCCCAATAATTCCCAGAGCTCCCCCCAAGCCCCCCATTCTCTGGGGTCCCCTTTCAATTCCCTGGGTTCCCCCATTCCCTGGGGTCCCCCCTCAATTCCCTGGGTTCCCCACATTCCCTGGGGTCCCCTCTCAAATCCCTGGGTTCCCCACATTCCCAGGGGTCCCCCTTCTTTCCCTGGGGTCCTCTCTCCAAGCCCCCCATTCCCTGTTGTCCCCCAATAATTCCCAGGGCTCCCTCCAAGCCCCCCATTCCATCGGGTCCCCCCTCAGTTCCTAGGGCTGCCCCCATTCCCTGGGGTCCCTCCTGTTTCCTTGGGGTCCCCCCTCAATTCCCAGGGCTCCCTCCAAGCCCCCCATTCCATGGGGTCCCCCCTCAGTTCCTAGGGCTGCCCCCATTCCCTGGGGTCCCTCCTGTTTCCTTGGGGTCCCCCCTCAATTCCCAACACTCCTTCCAAGGCCCCATTCCCTGGGGTCCCCCCACAATTCCTTCAGTCCCCCCATTCCCTGGGATCCCCCCTCAATTCCCTGGGGTCCCCCAATAATTCCCAGGGCTCTCTCCAAACCCCCCATTCCCTGGGGTCCCCCCTCAATTCCCAGGGCTCTCTCCAACCCCCCCATTCCCTGGGGTCCCCCAATAATTCCCAGGGCTCCCTCCAAGCCCCCCTTTGATTCCCTGGGTTCCCCTATTCCCTGGGGTCCCCCTTCTTTCCCTGGGGTCCTCTCTCCAAGATCCCCATTCCCTGGAGTCCCCCCTCAATTCCCAGAGCTCTCCCCATTCCCTGGGGTCCCCTGTCAATTCCCTGGGTTCCCCACATTCCCTGGGGTCCCCCTTCTTTCCCTGGGGTCCTCTCTCCAAGCCCCCCATTCCCTGTTGTCCCCCAATAATTCCCAGGGCTCCCTCCAAGCCCCCCATTCCATGGGGTCCCCCCTCAGTTCCTAGGGCTGCCCCCATTCCCTGGGGTCCCTCCTGTTTCCTTGGGGTCCCCCCTCAATTCCCAACACTCCTTCCAAGGCCCCATTCCCTGGGGTCCCCCCACAATTCCTTCAGTTCCCCCATTCCCTCT